GACTCTACCTTCTATGGTCTAGGTCTCGACTCGGACTCGACCCTCTATGGTCTCGGTCTCGACTCGGACTCTACCTTCTATGGTATCGACTCGGACTCGACCCTCTATGGTCTCGGTCTCGACTCTCTTTGGTCTCGGCCTCGACTCGGACTCGACTCAAACTCGACTCGGACTGGACTCTCTTTGGTCTCGGACTCGACTCTCTTTGGCCTCGGTCTCAACTCGGATTCTACCTTCTATGGTCTAGGTCTTGACTCGGACTCGACCCTCTTGGGTCTCGGCCTCGACTCGGACTCTACCCTCTATGGTCTAGGTCTTGACTCGGACTCGAACCTCTATGGTCTCGGTCTCGACTCGGACTCGACTCTCTTTGGTCTCGGTCTCGACTCGGACTCGACCCTCTATGGTCTCGGTCTCGACTCGGACTCTACCTTCTATGGTCTAGGTCTTGACTCGGACTCGACCCTCTATGGTCTCGGTCTCGACTCGGACTCTACCTTCTATGGTATCGACTCGGACTCGACCCTCTATGGTCTCGGTCTCGACTCTCTTTGGTCTCGGCCTCGACTCGGACTCGACTCAAACTCGACTCGGACTGGACTCTCTTTGGTCTCGGACTCGACTCTCTTTGGCCTCGGTCTCAACTCGGATTCTACCTTCTATGGTCTAGGTCTTGACTCGGACTCGACCCTCTTGGGTCTCGGCCTCGACTCGGACTCTACCCTCTATGGTCTAGGTCTTGACTCGGACTCGAACCTCTATGGTCTCGGTCTCGACTCGGACTCGACTCTCTTTGGTCTCGGTCTCGACTCGGACTCGACTCTCTATGGTCTCGGTCTCGACTCGGACTCGACCCTCTATGGTCTTGACTCGGACTCGACTCGGACTGGACTCTCTTTGGTCTCGGTCTCGACTCGGACTCGACTCTCTTTGGTCTCGGTCTCGACTCGGACTCTACCTTCTATGGTCTAGGTCTTGACTCGGACTCGACCCTCTATGGTCTCGGTCTCGACTCGGGCTCTACCTTCTATGGTCTCGACTCGGACTCGACCCTCTATGGTCTCGGTCTCGACTCTCTTTGGTCTCGATCTCGACTCGGACTCGACTCGGACTCGACTCTCTTTGGTCTCGGACTCGACTCTCTTTGGTCTCGACTCAGACTCGACTCTCTTTGGTCTCGGTCTCGACTCGGACTCGACTCTCTTTGGTCTCGGTCTCGACTCGGACTCTACCTTCTATGGTCTAGGTCTTGACTCGGACTCGACCCTCTTGGGTCTCGGTCTCGACTCGGACTCTACCCTCTATGGTCTAGGTCTTGACTCGGACTCGACCCTCTATGGGCTCGGTCTCGACTCGGACTCGACTCTCTTTGGTCTAGGTCTCGACTCGGACTCGACTCTCTATGGTCTCGGTCTCGACTCGGACTGGACCCTATGGTCTTGACTCGGACTCGACTCGGACTGGACTCTCTTTGGTCTCGGTCTCGACTCGGACTCTACCTTCTTTGGTCTAGGTCTTGACTCGGACTCGACCCTTTATGGTCTCGGTCTCGACTCGGACTCTACCCTCTATGGTTTAGGTCTTGACTCGGACTCGCCCCTTTATGGTCTCGGTCTCGACTCGAACTCTACCTTCTATGGTCTTGACTCGGACTCAACCCTCTATAGTCTCGGTCTCGACTCTTTTTGGTCTCGACTCGGACTCGACTCAAACTCGACTCGGACTGGACTCTCTTTGGTCTCGGACTCGACTCTCTTTGGTATCGGTCTCAACTCGGACTCGACTCTCTTTGGTCTCGGTCTCGACTCAGACTCGAATCTCTTTGGTCTCGGTCTCGACTCGGACTCTACCTTCTATGGTCTAGGTCTTGACTCGGACTCGACCCTCTTGGGTCTCGGTCTCGACTCGGACTCTACACTCTATGGTCTAGGTCTTGACTCGGACTTGACCCAACCCTCTATGGGCTCGGTCTCGACTCGGACTCGACTCTCTTTGGTCTAGGTCTCGACTCGGACTCTACTCTCTATGGTCTAGATCTTTACTCGGACTCTACCCTCTATGGTCTCAGTCTCGACTCGGACTTGACTCTCTTTGGTCTCGGTCTCGATTCGGACTTGACCCTCTACGGTCTCGGTCTCTACTCGGACTCGAGTGAGCTGGTCTTCACTACAACACTGGCAGATATTGACTTGAGACTATATTTGGGTGAAGCACAGGCAAAGCATTGCTACTTGGGCGCAGAGATATCACCCAACACCTGAAATCCCACAACTTCCGTCAACATACTGGCCTGAATAGTAGCTGGCTATTTTTCCTACAGTAGACATAGAGAATGGCGATGAACATGGCTGATTTTGTGAGAGACGAAGAGTGACTTCTCCGACTGTAAAGATCCAGAACCATACCTCTATGAGCCAGAGTTTTCAGAAGAGGAGCTACGTGCTTTGTAAACAGAACGACAGGAGGAGGAGGTTGCGATTGCTCAACAGCCAGAGAACGTGAGGATGAGAGCCAACACGAACTGGTGGTGTGAGTGTATATCCTTTGCTCGTTCTCACAACGTTTTGCTACGCAGGGAATTACCATGTTTGCTGTTACTGTAGCTGTAACTTCTCAAACTCAACACAATCCAAATGCGAAGATACTCGGTGCAGGTCACGCCGGTGGGATTTCAGGTGTTGCGTGATATCGCTGTGGCCAAGTAGCAGTGTTTCGCCTGTGCTTCACCCCAATTTAGTCCCAAGTCAATGTCTGAATCGCCTAGTCTTAATCTGCATTGCTGTTTTTTGGCACGTACACGCGTAAATTGGCATTTCCTTCAGCTTCAGGCTTACTATTTCACTTTTTTGTGAAAGGGTCTTAAATTTTTTTTTTGTGGACTAAAAAGCTCTGCCTAGGTGGGAAAAAGTAATGCAAAAGTAACATAATGCATTACTTTTCTTAAAAGTAACTAACGCAATTAGTTACTTTCTCAGGGGTAAAATGACCCGGAGGGCGGGGCCGGGATTCAGATTTTTTTTTTTTTTCAGTAAAGTCAATGAAATGTATTTTTGTTCAATAATATTTTTTCTTCTTTTCTTTGGTGTTTTGAGAGAAAATCTGTGTGTGTGTGTGTGTGTGTGTGTGTGTGTGTGGTTTTTTACGTCTGTTTTGCACTCTTGGTGTTTTAGAGATTCACCCCTTCAATAGGAGTGACAGCAGAATCTAGTCTATTGCCACGATCACGGTAACAAGACACAATAAAGCATCTCTTCCATAGAAATCTGTCATAATCAGCTTCAACAAGAGACACAACAAAGAAAACATAACTTTTAAGTCACCATCATGGTACGTCAAGTGATGATTTGAGTAATGATTAATTAAACTTATTAAAAACTCATGTTTTTTGTCCAGTTATTGTTTTTGCTGATTATACTTGGATCAGGAATAATTTTAGTTCTGAAATAGGCTTACTGCGATAATCGTTTAATGTTATTTTAGATGATATCATATTTTATATATAAGTACTAAATAGTCCTTAAAAATAAAAAATCTTCCCAACTAGAGTCCCCCCCAGTGAATCTCAGCCATTTATAGCCCTGGATAAAAAAAATCATCTCTTGGAAATTGGTCTTAATGCCTTAGTTAAATTTTTTTTTTTGGAAAAATCCAACCTTTAAGGACACCAATTTTCTTTCTGAATGAATAATGTATCATACATACAGTAGATAAATGTTCCAGGCTGTGTAAGTCAGGGCACCCCTATGTTAAATTCCCATAGATTCAGACAAATTTTTATTTTTTAAAGGCCAGTTATTTCATGGATCCAGGATACTATGCATCCTGATAAAGTTCCCTTGGCCTTTGGAATTGAAAAAGCCCTGCATCATCACACACCCTTTACCATACCTAGAGATTCTATAATTATTTTTAATTTTTAAGGCTGGTGTGGCCATTGAACTGTTTTTTTCATGTCAGACAGTAGGCTAGTAAGGACTTTCTCAGTTTGTGTAAATCTTAGGGTTTAGAGTATTTATTTTTCCAACATTAATTTCCCATATGTCTACAATTATGTGTTTTTTTGTTTTATTAATGCAGTGAGTGCATATTTTTTTCCCGATTTACTCTGAAAGAATGGAAATGAAATGTGACAGCATGCCCCATAGGAGGAGGAGGCCTACAATATGACCATGCTATTCTCTGATCATAAAATATACAAGACAAACTAAAATATTTACACTTGTTTACTTTTTCATATAAAATAATGGATTTTTTAAAAAAAATAATTACTTGTAAACAAAATATTTTTTGAGTTTGGCAATGAACACACTGGAAAACACAACTCAACACAGTAAAATAATTAATTATAAAAATAATTCCCAATCATTGACTTCACCTTTTTGTCATGTTTTATCGATATAATCCATAAAAGTATTGAATAGAATATTCTAATAGGGGATCATTGTGACAGTGACAACATGCCCCACCTGAGAAACTGGGACTTAAGGCCATTGCACACTGAGTACGAAATTTTCGTGTGCGTTTTTTCGTGTTCGTCAGCCTAAAAATTCGTCACGCAGAGAAACCTTGCACATGCACACTGAGTCCGATGCGTATTTATTAAACCTTTGCGGGAAAAAAACGCAAAAATTCAAAATGGATTCGTCAAGCAGTGAGGACGATTTTGTTGTCCTCTCTCTTATTGAAAAGAGAAGAAAGAGAAAATATACGTCCATCCAGGCACGTGCAGAGGGGGAGGGGGAGGGGGAGGGGGGGGGGCGTTGGGTGCTCGAGCACCTGCCCTTTTGCCCCTTGGTGCCCAAAGTGCCCTTTTGTCAAGACAAAATTTCCTCTCCTTTTTTTGTATTTAAAGGCACTTTTGTGGATGCCTGCCCCATCTAACTAGTAGTAAAATGAATGAATAATAATTTAGCGGTAAATAAAATGACCCACATGATGACCTTTCACCTGATTCCTCACGCTGCACGCGCATTTTATAATTTCGCGCGGCTACGCGCAATCGCGCATTCCCAGAGGATATCTTCAACTCTTGCGGCTGCTGGTAAGTGGTGTTTTATTCTCAGCGAAGTGATTTTGATGTTTGTTTACTTGTTATTATTATTTTACTAGAACGACGTGAAGAGAGCATGCAGAGAGATGTTGTTTGTATTGCTGTGTGTAGGCTGTAGAAGTAACGTTAGCTTGCTGTTTGAGGGAGAAAAGTTTCACGGGCGTGGAGGGGTGTTATTTGACTAAAAACTATTATTTTTTACTTTATTATTATTATTATTACAGTATTTATTAAAAAAAAATATTTTCACATAAAAATGATTATCACAACTCTGGTAAGTTATCACATAGTCTTACCAGTTAGTATCTTATGTTTTGTGTGTAGAAGCCTCTGTGAACATCTGCCCTAGTAACGTTACTATTATATACTATTATTGTATTATATACTTTAGCAGCCTGGGTAGAATCTGTAGCTTTAGCAGGTCAGTGAACTAGTGAGCCAGTTCCAAACACTGTCAGCAATCTTTACATCTTGACATGGTCACATAAAAATGGTTTATTCAGCTAATACCCTACATTTCTGTTTATTTTAATGTCTACAGTCTCAGATCAACTCCAGCAGTATCAGCAGCAGCAGTAACAACATCAACAGCAAAGGCAGCAAACTCACTTAAGGACTTAAGTAAGAATTTACCAGAACAGGCATCACGTTAATGTTAAAAATTAAAAAAAAGTATTAATTGCTGTTTCTGTTTGCTTTGTTTTTTTATTTTCATTGTATAAAATGTAACTCTTGTATTTTTGTAAATCAGTTTTTGCCATTAAAATAGCCACAGATGCTGATATGCCATTAAATAAAACTATACTGTACTGCACGAAACATGGGCCACGTTGATTTTGTCCTATACAGTTCACTATAACAGCTGTTCTTTATTATTCTGTATAACAGAGAAGAAAAAGCCATCAGGTTGGAACAACTTAAGATGCTTCAGTTTCTAATCCCAGAGTTATATATAGAGCACATCAATTATTTTCTTTAATTTTAAACTTTAAATTTGTCTTTTCTGTTCTGGTTCTTTTTCAAAACTGCATCAATGCATTTGCTGCTGTATCGATGCAGAATCATCTGTATTGATATATTACTGTATTGATATTTTGAGCACAGCCCTATAAAGCCTTGTTTCCATGTGCCCCATTTTATACTTTGAGCACCTGCCCCTCCAGAGGTCTCTGCACGGCCCTGCGTCCATCCAATCCTGAAATTGCGCTGAGAGGAAGCACCTCCTTATCAAGGAGTTTCGAATTTATCCTGAGCGATTCAAAATTTACCTCAGAATGTCAGTGGGACAGTTTGATGCTTTGCTTGCGATTCTGGAGCCACCTTTTAAAAACAAGACCACCAATTTCCGTGAACCAATCGATTCTGAACAGAGACTGTCAGTATGTCTAAGGTATGGACACACAGACACATAAACGCACGCACGCGCGCGGCCCGGTGGAAGCGCTGGGCAGACCAGCTGAATAGGCTACAGGTTATATTGTACCCAAATAATACATTAGTTATCGTATTGGGTGCTCAATCACACATTAATCGACCCAAAATTTCAATCTGATTGAAAGGGGAGGTTATTCATAATCCAATCGAGAGAAGAGAGCATATAGGCTAGGATCGAATTGAAAACTGAAACTGAAACTGAAAGCACTGCGCATATGTTCAATGATGTGCGGAACGAGGTTCATAGACAGTAACGAGCTCCCCCCGGCCCTGAATTGTCAAAAAAAAAAAAAAAAAAAAAAAAAAAAAAAAAAAAAAAAAAAACAATCAAGCTGCTGGCTGCGGATGCGAAAAACGCATAAAATCGAACCTGATCCGATTTTTTTTATGACGGACGAAAGTTTCGGAGGCGGTGTGCAAGCGTGATTGACATAACGTGAGGTCGATTTTTTTTTTTTTAACGTGCGAAAATTTCGGATGCGAATTTAGGACTCAGTGTGCAATGGCCTTTAGGCTAAACCTGGGGGTTTAAATTTTGTTTAAAATAACCTGAAGAAATCCTGATTGTGAGCGTGTAACTTTTTAGTGCGTGATCATTAACTCCGCCCTTTTACTAACTTCCAGGAAATCACTCGTTATTCCTCGTTTCTGTCAAACTGATCCCTTGTGTCCAGACAAAAGACAAACAATCAGCGATCAGTGGAGAATGAAGGAAAAAGCTTTCAAGAAGGATTTATGATACGTTTCTGAACACACAGCAGATCTTAGTGGAATCTCATGAGCAATCCAGACATGCAGATGAGCGAGAGAGACTCTACTACTGTCCGCAGAATCAGAACCCAGCAGAACCAGACCCTGCAGACCCAGGAGAACCAAGAGCCGGACGATGGCGACGAGGAAGCCGCGCTGAACGGCCCCCGGATCCGCGAACACACGTCGACGGCAGTGAAGAAGAGAGAGTTTCTGCGCGAGAGTTGCGCTGTGGTTCTGCTGCTCGGGTTCCTGAGTCTGATGTGGGTTCTGGTTCTGGTCTCAGTCCAGCAGATCATCATCCGCAGCAGAAGCACAGGACACTTCAACGCCACTCGGGCCAGGTACAATTTACCATAGTAGTAGTACAGTCAAGTCAAATATATATATAGCGCTTTTCATAATACAGATTGTAGCTGGTTCACAGTACCAATCAAAACAACTTAAGTTTGTTCATTGCTGGAAAAAGTACAGCATATTGTATACTATTGCATCATACTTTCGTGTTTGTGTTAGCATGACTTTAATTCTTACAAAACGTCCAAGCCATGGTAAAATAATATAAGTGATTACAACTTAATAACATGAGGTTTAAAACATCAGTAATATGTGTCTGTTTGGGTTTGATTTGTCTGGGGAAAATATTAAAAAACATGCTGTAATGTGATACAGTTTATGAACATTCAAATAAGAGGATATTTGCATTATTATAAATATATCACTGCGGATCTCTCTACTAATGATGCTTAAAGTTATCATTAAATGAAAATTGTTCATCTTTCTAAATCTTTCATCCTATTGTAAATGTTTCATACATCCGTGAAGAATAGAATAGAGTAGAATAGAATATAACATAATATATTAGAGCACAATAAAGTAGGATAGAAAAGAATAGTGTAGAATATAAAATAATAGTTTAATAGAACAGAATAGAATAAAGTAGGACAGAAAAGAATAGAGTAGAATATAGTAGGATAGAATAGAATTGAATATAATAGAACAGAATATAATAGAACAGAATAGAATGGAATGGAGCAGAATAAAGTAGAATAGAAAAGAATAGAGTAGAATATAGAAGAATATAGTTGGATAGAATAGAACTGAATAGAACAGAATGGAATGGAACAGAATAAAGTAGGATAGAAAAGAAAATAGAATGATATAGTAGGATAGACTAGAATAGAATAAAACAGACTAGAATAGAGTAGAATAGAATGGAATGGAGCAGAATAAATTAGGATAGAAAAGAATAGAGTAGAATATAGAACAATATAGTAGGATAGAATTGAATACAATAGAATGGAATATAATAGACTAAAACAGAATAGAATGGAATGGAGCAGAATAAAGTAGGATAGAAAGAATAGAGTATAATATAGAAGAATATAGTAGGATAGAATAGAACTGAATAGAACACTGGAATGGAACAGAATAAAGTAGGATAGAAAAGAAAATAGAGTAATATAGTAGGATAGACTAGAATAGAACAAAACAGACTAGAATAGAGTAGAATCTAATAGAATGGAATGGAGCAGAATAAAGTAGGATAGAAAAGAATAGAGTAGAATATAGAAGAATATAGTACGATAGAATAGAACTGAATAGAATAGAACAGAATGGAATGGAACAGAATAAAGTAGGATAGAAAAGAAAATAGAATAATATAGTAGGATAGACTAGAATAGAACAAAACAGACTAGAATAGAGTAGAATATAATAGAATGGAATGGTGCAGAATAAAGTAGGATAGAAAAGAATAGAGTAGTAGAATATAGAAGAAGATAGTAGGATAGAATTGAATAGAACAGAATATAATAGAATAAAACAGAATAGAATGGAATGGAGCAGAATAAAGTAGTATAGAAAGAATAGAGTAGAATATAGAAGAATATAGTAAGATAGAATAGAACTGAATAGAATAGAACAGCATGGAATGGAACAGAATAAAGTAGGATAGAAAAGAAAATAGAATAATATAGTAGGATAGACTAGAATAGAATAAAACAGACTAGAATAGAATAGAGTAGAATATAATAGAATGGAATGGAGAAGAATAAAGTAGGATAGAAAAGAATAGAGTAGAATATAGTAGGATAGAATAGAATTGAATATAATAGAACAGAATATAATAGAACAGAATAGAATGGAATGGAGCAGAATAAAGTAGAATAGAAAAGAATAGAGTAGAATATAGAAGAATATAGTTGGATAGAATAGAACTGAATAGAACAGAATGGAATGGAACAGAATAAAGTAGGATAGAAAAGAAAATAGAATGATATAGTAGGATAGACTAGAATAGAATAAAACAGACTAGAATAGAGTAGAATAGAATGGAATGGAGCAGAATAAATTAGGATAGAAAAGAATAGAGTAGAATATAGAACAATATAGTAGGATAGAATTGAATACAATAGAATGGAATATAATAGACTAAAACAGAATAGAATGGAATGGAGCAGAATAAAGTAGGATAGAAAGAATAGAGTATAATATAGAAGAATATAGTAGGATAGAATAGAACTGAATAGAACACTGGAATGGAACAGAATAAAGTAGGATAGAAAAGAAAATAGAGTAATATAGTAGGATAGACTAGAATAGAACAAAACAGACTAGAATAGAGTAGAATCTAATAGAATGGAATGGAGCAGAATAAAGTAGGATAGAAAAGAATAGAGTAGAATATAGAAGAATATAGTACGATAGAATAGAACTGAATAGAATAGAACAGAATGGAATGGAACAGAATAAAGTAGGATAGAAAAGAAAATAGAATAATATAGTAGGATAGACTAGAATAGAACAAAACAGACTAGAATAGAGTAGAATATAATAGAATGGAATGGAGCAGAATAAAGTAGGATAGAAAAGAATAGAGTAGTAGAATATAGAAGAAGATAGTAGGATAGAATTGAATAGAACAGAATATAATAGAATAAAACAGAATAGAATGGAATGGAGCAGAATAAAGTAGTATAGAAGAATAGAGTAGAATATAGAAGAATATAGTAAGATAGAATAGAACTGAATAGAATAGAACAGCATGGAATGGAACAGAATAAAGTAGGATAGAAAAGAAAATAGAATAATATAGTAGGATAGACTAGAATAGAATAAAACAGACTAGAATAGAATAGAGTAGAATATAATAGAATGGAATGGAGAAGAATAAAGTAGGATAGAAAAGAATAGAGTAGATATAGAAGAATATAGTAGGATAGAATAGAACTAAATAGAATAGAACAGCATGGAATGGAACAGAATAAAGTAGGATAGAATAGAAAATAGAATAATATAGTAGGATAGACTAGAATAGAATAAAACAGACTAGAATAGAGTAGAGTAGAATATAATAGAATGGAATGGAGCAGAATGAAGTAGGATAGAAAAGAATAGAGTAGAAGATAGTAGGATAGAATAGAACAGAATGGATGGAACAGAATAAAGTAGGATAGAAAAGTAAATAGAATAATATTATATAGTAGGATAGACAAGAATAGAATAAAACAGACTAGAATAGAGTAGATTAGAATGGAATGGAGCAGAATAAAGTAGGTTATTATAAAGTAGAATAGAATAGAATTTGGCTTCACTGCAAAAACTCGATAGAATCAAAACTATAATGATAACAATCAAATAAAAACAGAGCAGCAGAGTTGTGCTCAGATGTGTAAAGTTATGTGTTACGATGTGCTTCAGGATGCATTTGGATCGGATCACCAGCGTCGGGCCGCGGACCGTGGGAAGCCCAGAGATCGAGGTGACGGTGAACTACCTTCAGGATCAGATAGAGCAGATCCGGTCTGAGAGTAAAGCTGGCTCTCACTCCATCACAGTGGACGTCCAGCGGCCCAGCGGCACCTTCAGTATCGGCTTCCTCATCTGCTACGACCACCTGACCAACATCGCCGTCAGACTCGAGCCCAAAACCGGCGCGCAGCACTTCATGCTCGCTAACTGCCACTTCGACACGGTGGCCGACAGTCCGGGTGTGTTTCTACAACCCTTCACACGTCATCCTGCTGGCGTTCTCCTCAGCAGACTTTGAGTTTGTGTGCTGTTTCTTCCTTAATTCCTTCTCTAGAGTTTGTGAGAATTAATGGAGAACTCATTCCATATTTCTTATTGCGTGACCTTTATCTCAGCTTTGTTCGTTTAGTTTGCTAAGCGATCAGATCGAGCAGTTTAAGGTTTGGAGTCAGTGATCTTTGAGTCAGATCTCAGGACTTTCTTATTTTTCACTGTGTTTTGTGTCTGATGGTGGGTGTGAATCGACAGGCATGTTATTATTGTTTGCAATATTTATGCATATGTAACCCCTCAGGTCACACTGCTCTGTGCGGGACTCAAACTCGGGTCGAAAGGCCGCAATCACTCGAGTCCCTCTCTTGAGATCAGGGGAGTGAGGTTTACACGCAGCTCTTACTAGCTGGCCTCCGTTATTCAACGCATTATTTCCTATCACACTCTGACATCATCTGTGTTGTGAAATTCTGATCCTTAGAAAACCAGGAAGTGAAAGTGAAAAGCAGGAACATCGATGTGTGAGTGTGTGTTTGTAAGTCTCAGTGATCTGCATGCAAAAGATGCATATGCATGAGTGCTTAATAGAGGTTATGCATTGACGTCACTTTCCCGCCGGATCACTCCCCCTTCAGCCGGACTGAGTGGCAAAACAGCTTCTTCCACTCTGTCTGTCTGCCTCTCAGTGGGCGTGACCGCAGTGCCAATGGTGACGTCACACGCATAACCTTTATAAGTGTTGTGGTTTTAGTCAGAATGTTATTTTGTTATTTTAGTTCCTCAACAGTGTTGTTGTTCTGTCATGTTTCTGTCGCTCAGTGTGTTTTCCACTCATACCCCTTTTCCACCAACAAGAACCAGGTGCTGGTTCAGAGCTAGAGCTAGGGCCAGTTCAGATTTGGTTCGATTGATGAGCTTTCAAAGAACCAGTTTGCTTTTCCACAGGCTAGAGAGCCATCACAGAGCCAGATCTTAGTAACCAGACAGTTTCTGGTCTCATTGACATATGGAAGTCAATGAGACCAGAAACTGTCTGGTTACAGACAGATTTGAATGCATTTGATTGACAGGATTATTGTAATTGTGTATCTGCATTATCAGCATCTTGTTTGTAATGAATGGTTTTATGTATTTGTATGTATCCATAGCATGTTTTATTTATTTTTTTTGAGTCATGTTTCTATATTTGTGTGCATTCTTTACTCTAGTCTAGTGTATCAGTACTGCAGGTACTGTGTGATCGATAATGTATAGTGTTCATGTGTTTCAGGAGCCAGTGATGATGCCGTCAGCTGTTCAGTGATGTTGGAGATTTTACGTTCTCTAGCTAATCTCTCTACACCTCTCAAACACGGTGTCATCTTCCTGTTCAACGGGGCAGAGGAGAACATGCTGACGGTGAGAGGTCACGACATGGCTGACCTTTGACATTTACATTTAATCATTTAGCAGACACTTTTATCCACATCGACAAATGAGGAGAGCAATAGAAGTTAAGAAGAGAAGAGAAAAAGTGCTAGTATTAAAGGATCAAGTGTTGCCAAAAAAGATGAGTCTTCAGCCATTTCTTAAAGATGGCTAAAGACTCATCAGCTCAGGTTGAGTTGGGCAGATCAGACATGTGCTCTCTTCGGCTTGTCAAAGACAACTCTTGCTGCAGCATCTGGATCAGTTGCAGAGGTTTGACAGTGATAAGAAAGCATTACAACAGTCCAATCTGGATAGAACAAGCACTTGGACAAGGAGTTGTGTAGCTCTGATAGGAAAGGGTCTGATCTTCCTAATGTTGTATAAGGCAAATCTGCAGGATTGGGCAGTTCTAGTAATGTGGTAAGTGAAGTTCAATTGATCATCAATTACAACTCTAAGATTCTTGGCTGTCCTGTAAGGAGTTATGGATGATGAACCCAGCTGAATGGAGAAGTTATGGTGTAGTGTTGGGTTGGCAGAGACCACTGTCTTCGCAAGGTTTAGTTGAAGGTGGTGGTCCTTCATCCAGCCAGAAATGTCTGTCAGGCAGGCTTAGATGCAAGCAGCTACCATCGGATTATCTGTTTGGAATGAGAGGTCATCAGCATTGCAGTGATAGGAAAAACCATCCTAGTGATGACATGTAGATGGAGAAGAGAAGCGGTCCCAGTACTGAGCCCTGAGGCACTCCAGTAGCAAGATGTTTGACATCTCATCCCCTCCATGACACCCTAAAGGACCTATTAAGAGGTAAGACTTGAAACATCGGAGTGCGGTTCCTGAGATGCCTTTCATCTTGAGGATTGACAGGAGGATCTGGCGGTTAACTGTATCAAACGAAAAAGACAGATCCAGCAGGATGAGGACTGAGGATTTGTAAACTGCTCTTGCCAGTCTCAGAGCTTCAAGAACCGAGAGCAGGGCAGTCTCAGAGTGTCATTTTGAAGCTGCTTGTTGCTCAGGAGGTTGTTCTGGGTAAGAAAGGCAGAGATCTCTTCGAAAACAACTCATTCAAGTGTTTTAGCCATGAATGTACAAGTAAGAAGGGATACTGGTCTGTAGTATTCTAGAAATGCTGGATTTAGATTGGGTTTCTTAAGCAGTGGGGATACCCGAGCCAGCTTAAATGCTGTGGGAAAGATACCAGTGTGAAGAGAAGTGTTGTTATGAATGAGTAAGTTCTGGTACAATTGAGGAAGAAATGGCTTGAAGTAGATTAGTGGGAAAATGATCAAGCGGACAGTTATTGGCGTGATTGGAAAGGAGGAGTTTGGAGACTTCTGCCTCTGATAGCAGAGAGAAAGAGGGGATAATGTGTGTGTTTTAGTTGTTAAGATGTGTGTGTGTCGTTTTGTTGCGTGACAAATTGGCCACTGATGGTGGTGGTTTTATTTATGAAGAATGTGGCAAAATCGTCAGGGTTGGTGGAGGCGGGTTGAGAAAAGAGGAGAAGGTTTTGCAAGGGTCAGAAGAATTGTTAATTTTATTGTGATAGTAAGTTATTTGAGCAGTAGAGACATTAGCAGGGAAGGAAGAAAGGAGGGATTGATGAAGACCAAGGTCAGTAGGATCTTTCGATTTGCACCACTTTCTCTCTGCAGACCTGAGAGTGTAGCCTGGCAAGGCAGGCCTATCAAGATGTTAGGTCTGGGAACTCACAATTGGCATAACTCAATCCGAGGGGCGGGATAAAAGGTTGTCTTTCAATATCCCTCTGCACGCAATAGGATAGCCCCACAACCAACCAGAGCAACGAACGGCTGTGGATGAGTGAGTCTAATGCGTTTTCCCTCCAGCAGAGCAAGTTGATATATTAAACGTTTGCCATATCCTGTCGTCAAAACTCTGAACATCTTCCTTTTTTAAGAGTGACTTAAGTGAAATTCTCTTAACTCCAAGTCCTCCAGAGTCGCGGCCAAAGCCGAATCGAAAGACCGCTGTTCGCCAGCTGCATCTTGTTTGTTTTTAAGTAGCAGGGAAATCACCTATGGAAATCACGGCGCAGAACCGTCACAACTCTGCCGTCATTGTGTTAAGCCCGCCCACCAACTCTATACACGATGTGATTGGCCTGACCAGAGTTTGGTTTTTCCACTTCGAAAGCCAACAGAGAGTTGCTAGACCACACTTTGCTGCAAAATAATTTTTGCTGCCGCTAGGGTGCGTCTAGATTTCTAGGCTACCGAGAGTGATGTTGGCGGAGAACATTAGATAGCCAGAAGACAGAGGGGGTGACGTGGGCTGGGGTGGATGACAGGGGGCTGAATTTGTCCAAGTAGGATGACCTCAGCGAGCATGTGATTATCTTATATTGGCGGTTTGATGTAAATTGATCACATGATCACTTTCATCATTCATGGTCTCACAGTGTGTTTGCCACACACATGCATGTTAAAGTGTAGTTTGATCTCTTTTAACATATGCCTTTCTCTCAGGGGAGTCATGGCTTCATTACCAAGCATCCCTGGGCTCAGCAGGTGCGAGCGTTTGTGAACCTGGACGCAGCAGGAGTGGGAGGGAAAGAATTGGTGTTTCAGACAGGTAAATAATAAATGTGTACAGCAGGAGAATCTGCATTGTAGAACAAGTGGCAGAGTTAAAGAGATTCACCTCATCTTGTGTCACAGGTTCTCTGCCTTGAGAACACAAAGCAAGCATGACAATCAGCTAAAACAGATTAAAATCCAAATATTTCTTATTTTAATTCACCCCATGATTTAAATAGTCTTGAAAAACTGGGTTAAACAAGGAAATAATGAAGAATGAGCCTGTGTGTGTGTGTGTGTGTCAGGTCCAGAGAATCCGTGGCTGGTCCAGGCGTATGTGCAAGCCGCCGTTCACCCGTTCGCCTCAGTCGTCGGTCAGGAGGTTTTCCAGAGTGGATTCATTCCCTCAGACACAGACTTCCGCATCTTCAGGGACTTCGGGAATATTCCTGGTATGGAATGCACACTGTAAAAAAAAAAAAAACAGCAGCAGCTCTGATTGGCAGAACGTCGACATACAACAATACAATATTAACAAGTTAGAGATTAAACTTCAATTTATAGGAAAAATACCTATTTCATTTGATATATTTAGTGGTATATCAGTGATATAGTGTTAATACAAACAGAAAAGTTATTGGTAATAAGAAAATTTAGGAGTCTTTATTGGGACTGTGAGATTCACGTCATGTTAAAGACGACGACTTTTTCTTTTTCTTCTATAGGGATTGATCTTGCGTTCATAGAGAACGGTTACCTCTATCACACTAAATATGACACTCCGGAGCGAATCCACATCGACTCCATCCAGAGAGCAGGTGAGACTCATGCTTCCTGATCCACAGACTCATATGAGCACCGAGGAATAAAACATCTGCTGAAGATCAGAGCTGATGTTCTGTTCAAGACACTCCAGATGCTCAGGGAGAGAAGATCACACACACACAAACACACACACATTTTTTTATTTTTTATTTTAACCAATACAAATAAGCGCAATATATATTTTGGGATTAGGGGTGGGGTTAGGGATCAGGGGGTGGAGATGGATAGGTTTAGGGGTAGGATCAGGGGCGGGGATGGGTAGGATTAGGGTGGGGTTAGGGATCAGGGGGTGGAGATGGGTAGGATTAGGGTGGGGTTAGGGATCAGGGGGCGGAGATGGGTAGGATTAGGGGTGGGGTTAGGGATCAGGGGGTGGAGATGGGTAGGATTAGGGTGGGGTTAGGGATCAGGGGGTGGAGATGGGTAGGATTAGGGTGGGGTTAGGGATCAGGGGGCGGAGATGGGTAGGATTAGGGGTGGGGTTAGGGATCAGGGGGTGGAGATGGGTAGGTTTAGGGGTGGGTTAGGGATCAGGGGGTGGAGATGGGTAGGATTAGGGGTGGGGATAGGGATCAGGGGGTGGAGATGGGTAGGATTAGGGGTGGGGTAGGGATCAGGGGGTGGAGATGGGTAGGATTAGGGGTGGGGATAGGGATCAGGGGGCGGAGATGGGTAGGATTAGGGTGGGGTTAGGGATCAGGGGGTGGAGATGGATAGGTTTAGGGGTGGGGTTAGGGATCAGGGGCGGAGATGGGTAGGTTTAGGGGTGGGGTTAGGGATCAGGGGGTGGAGATGGATAGGTTTAGGGGTGGGGTTAGGGATCAGGGGGTGGAGATGGGTAGGATTAGAGGTGGGGTTAGGGATCAGGGGCAGAGATGGGTAGGATTAGGGGTGGGGTTAGGGATCAGGGGGCGGAGATGTGTAGGATTAGGCGTGGGGTTAGGGATCAGGGGGCGGAGATGGGTAGGATTAGGGGTGGGGTTAGGGATCAGGGGGTGGAGATGGGTAGGTTTAGGGGTGAGGTTAGGGATCAGGGGGCGGAGATGGGTAGGATTAGGGGTGGGGATAGGGATCAGGGGGTGGAGATGGGTAGGTTTAGGGGTGAGGTTAGGGATCAGGGGGCGGAGATGGGTAGGATTAGGGGTGGGGTTAGGGATCAGGGGGTGGAGATGGGTAGGATTAGGCGTGGGGTTAGGGATCAGGGGGCGGAGATGGGTAGGATTAGGGGTGGGGTTAGGGATCAGGGGGCGGAGATGTGTAGGATTAGGGGTGGGGTTAGGATCAGGGGGTGGAGATGGGTAGGATTAGGGGTGGGGTTAGGGATCAGGGGGCGGAGATGGGTAGGATTAGGAGTGGGGTTAGGGATCAGGGGCAAAGATGGGTAGGATTGGGGTGGGGTTAGGGATCACAGGGCGGAGATGGGTAGGATTAGGGGTGGGGTTAGGGATCAGGGGCGGAGATGGGTAGGATTAGGGGTGGGGTTAGGGATCAGGGGCGGAGATGGGTAGGATTGGGGTGGGGTTAGGGATCAGGGGGCGGAGATGGGTAGGATTAGGGGTGGGGTTAGAGATCAGGGGGTGGAGATGGGTAGGATTAGGGGTGGGGTTAGGGATCAGGAGTCGGAGATGGGTAGGATTAGGGGTGGGGTTAGGGATCAGGGGTAGGATTAGGTATATGTAAGGTGGGAGGAGTTGGATATGGGTCCAACTCCTCCCCCTGCATTTCGTATTCTGCAGTGAGGACCATCTCTTTGGGTGCCTTGCTTTGCCTATCAGTTGTTTTGAGAATGATAAACTTCCTGTTTCTCTCGGTCACTAGGCGACAACATCCTGTCTGTGCTCAAGCACCTGGTGATGTCAGATGAGCTGGCGGATTCCTCGGAGCATCGCCATGGTAACATGGTGTTCTTCGACCTGCTGGGATTGACGATGGTGGCGTATCCCGCTCACGTCGGCACCATCATCAACTATGTGTTTGCCGTCGCCACGGTGATCTACCTGGGCTGGAAGTGCATGTTGAACAGCTCTGTGGGTACGTGATGGTCACATGACCAGTTTATTCATCATGAATGTGTTGAGTCGTGTGTCGAACAGGCATCACCTAAAGGGTGAAGCTGATGTCATCAGCTTCATACTGATGTATTTGATGTTAGCCTCTCTAAAGCACTGACGTTACGTGTGTTTTGCTGTAGGCTGTCGGTGCACACGTGATCTGGCGCGTGTGTGTATTGCTGTAGGCTGTCGGTACACGCGTGATCTGGTGTGTGCGGTGGTTATGGTGGTCCTGAGCTGGGTCATGGCTCTGCTGACGGTTCTGTTGGTGGCTTGGCTCGTCACACTCATGGGTCGCTCCATGTTCTGGTACACACACTTCTACGCTGCCGTCTCTCTGTACGGATCCGCCGCCGCCAGCATGATCCTGCTGATACACACGCTAGCCAAGAGCCTGTACTACAGGGTGAGTGAGGGGACAAAACACACCACACATGACAGTGCTCTTGTGAAACGTCATCAGTCAATGCCCAAGTTCACTTCTGATCTAGCCAATACAGTTCAAATCCCGGATTATCCCAGAATGCATCTCGCACCTACCAGCCAGCGTCAATGGCGGAGGAGTATATATTGAGACTCACAGTGGAGAATTATACATGGTATAGCTACGGTTAATTCTTTTATTTCTATCATAAATTCAAACGTTAGTCAAAAGTGGCATTTTTGTTCTCAAAGAGAAACTGTTTTTCATGTGTTTATGTCCCGCTCAAACTTGTTGAAGGATGTTTTCATTTGTTTTGATGAAAAATGTACTGTACCAGTTTTTATTTTTGGTTTTAAATATACCGGAAGAAGACAATATGAATGCCAATTGATAAATGTTAGTGTAGGCAAGGCAAAAATGCCAATATATGTTAGCAGAAAGAAAATAATTGAACAAAAAGGTGATTATAATGTTGAAATCTAGACTGCTAATTGATTTTTTAAACGTTTATGAACGTTTGAAAATATATGGTTGTGTTCTGTTATGGAAAACATTTTTCACAATTTCTATAAATATGATGTGATTAAAATTTTAATGCTTTTATAAATTTTAATATTTCTCTCTCTCTTCGTCTCTCCGCTAGTGTGTTCAGAGCGCCAGTCGTGTGGATCTGGCCGAGCTCTTCTTCGACGTCAGTCTGCTGTTGTGGTGTTGTCTGCTGCTCTTCCTCACTGTGTGTGGCTTGTGTTCAGCGTACGTGCCTATGATGATGGTGGTGTTTCCTCTCGTCAGCAAACTGCTTCTCAGAATGTTCATCAGAGCCAAAGGTCAGAGGTCACGCCACACACACCTGATTCACATTCACTCGCCCCATCTCCACTAGTGGACTGTTATCAGTACAGTAAAACAGTGCGTGTCTACAGTATTCCTCTGAGATTAAGCTTATTTGGTGTACTTGAAGCATATCTGTTTTTACAGTTGCTTAAGATATTAATTGTCAGTGTTGTGCCTGAACGCGTTCATTGAACGATAGTTTCAAGACGTTGCCTGCCGATAAAATAATTACTGTTTGTGGTTGAATATGGGCTGTGGTAATAATTACAAATAAATAAATAAAAAATAGCTCGCAGCAACATATGGAAAAAAATAACTATGAACCAGTTCATTTTTGGAACTGTGAACTTAGTTCAAAATTGTGAAGTATGAACTATGAACTTTGAACTAGTTCATGTAGAAAGTGAACTTTCCCAGCACTGTTAATTGTATATTATTATTTTTTTTGTGTCATAGGTTTTTTTTTTTTTTTTTTTTAGGTGCTATACATTTTTTTTTTAAATAAGTGTAAATGTTTTTGTTAGGGATGCAGATTAATACTGTGTAGAAAAAAATGAGATGCTCTCACTGTAACAATGCTGATATATAATGGAAGCAGATTAAAATCATGATGCCGAGGACCCAAATACAGTTTATCATAATGTTGAAAATCCAAAAAAATGTGAAACATAAACCATGAGTTAAACATGACACACAAAATAAACATGACCTAGATACTTAACTAGAAACCATAACCCTGGAACATGGACCAGCATTCAAACCTCAATACACAACACAGAAACATGACAAATATGAGGGCTTGAATACACAGAGACCAATGACAACAAAAGTGAAGCACAGGAGAATAACAAAATAAAAGACATGAACTAAAAGTTGAAACAAAACCACAACGCAGTACATATACTGATATTCCAGTAATTTGCTTTGGCTTCAATATAATACAATGTCAACACAAAAGACAATTACTTGATTCTAGATTGTTCTTTTGTGTAATGTATGATGTCTGTATGCAAATATAATATATATATATATATATATATATATATATATATATATATATATATATATATATTTGTAAAATTTGTTTTTAAATAGTTTTGTAGAACTGGTCACAATTACTTTATAATATGTGTGTTAAAACTGGACTTTTATTTTGCCATCGTTTTATGGCGTTTCAGGTCTCTGGTCAGCAGTAGTTTAGCTCAAGATGTAGAAATCACGGCTCTGATGTTTAAATGAGGTCATTCATGATTTAGTGGTGTGTGTGTGCAGGAGCATCTCTGTTGTACACCGTCCTTTACCTGATGGGTCTTGCCGTGCCGTACGTCCACATCATGTTCCTCACCTGGGTGGTTTTTGAGATCTTTACACCCATTCAGGGCCGCAGTGGAACCAGGGAAATCCGACCCGACTTCTTCATGGCGTCAATTGTTACCCTGGCAACCGTGATTCTGTCTACCTATTTCGTGAGTCATACAGACTAACACAGTAAACGTTCAAAATTCAAACATTTGAATTCAAACATTTAAATCCAAACAACCAGAGATTAAATCATTTTAAATTTCATGTACTTTTGCGCCCATTATTTTTTCCTTTTTTAAACCAGAAGTGAAATATGGAAGATGCGGTTTCTTCTTTTTATTAATTTTAACACCGATTAATACAATCAGCAGATACAAGCTAATTTTCCTTTTACACAATTATTATTTTATTCAAAATAATATAAATTATATACATCTTGTTTTTTAATATGTAAATAATGCTAATTTTAATTTATAGTTTTTTTTTGTGTCAATACACAGAATCTAAGAGCGCCTCGAGTTTTCCTCTGGCGTCAATTAAAGGAGTCACATGACCATTACTGAGCCTTAAGGCCAGTGCACACTAAGTTCATAATTTTCGTATGCGTTATTTTCGTATTCGTGATTTGGTGGCTCTGAATTGTCAAAACATCATTCAAACTGCTTTCTACGGATGCGAAAAACACAGAAAATCGAACCTCGAATTCATTTTTTTTAATGACGGACGAAAGATTCGGAAGCGTGATTGACATAACGTGAGGTCGTATTTATTTTTTAACGTGCGAAAATTTCGGACGCGAATTTCAGGCTCTTGTTTAGCGCTACAACATTTTATTGAGCTTGTGGTCTCGATCACATCCCTTTGCATTTCTCTCTGTTTTATATATAAGGCCAAAACAACTTAAATCACTGTGACACTTTTGTTTGGCTGTTAGGTGTTTTATACTGTTTTATATGGAGATATTGTAAAGGTTTAGGAGGTGCTTATAGGCTGCGCTAGTTCAAATTGAAAATACCCCAACATATGTCATGATGACAAAATTATATCCCAATATATTATTGTAATGAAAATTCCCATGCGTTTTGCCTCAGTGGAGGATTGACATCAAATGTTTCTCATTTTTCAATGAAAGCAATACGTTACGAATGTGTCACAATGTACTAAACCAACAACCGGGGGAAATTATTTTCTCGCACATGTTCTTTTCATCAACAGCATATAGAGTAAGACAACGGCACCGTAAACAAAGTGGAAAGACATAACGTAAAACTTCAAATAATAGCCCGGGCTGTTATTTTCCCAAATCGCCGAACTGCACTGGCTTGTATTTGAGACAGGCGTCTATACACTCGTTCATTAAGTGTAGGCCTAGAGATAACGACCCAAAAAGCATAGGCTGATAGACAGAAAGTATGACAGTAGGAGGTTATATTGATATATAACTAAACAAAAGCGGGCCGAGTATCGAGCCTTGTGGTACCCCTGTGCGTAAATTAAGAACTAATGAACAATGGTTGTTCACAGAAACACATTGAGTTCTACCAGTTAAATATGATTTAGGACCAAACTAAATAATTAAAGAGAATACATTGAAAAAAAAAATACACCGATTTTTACGTGAAACTTATTCCAGCTATTCTCCCTCTCTCTCTCTCTAGATGCATTTCATCTATCTGTGGCGCAGCACAAAGTGTATGTTGGCTGTTCTGGGGTCAGTGTTCACGCTGATGTTTGTTCTGGTCTGCTCTGGTCTGTTCTTCCCATATTCTGGTGACCCATCAAGCCCGCGACCCAAACGTGTCTCTGTTCAGGTACAGTTTACTCAAACCTACGGAGCCCCTCTAGTCCCACTTTGGTCAAAAATTTTTATTATAACTATCTTGTGGCCTCAAGATAGTAACTTGAGACCTCAAGATAGTAACTCGTGGCCTCAAGATACTAACTCGTGTCCTCAAGATACTAACTCGTGGCCACAAGATAGTAACTCGTGGCCACAAGATAGTAACTCGTGGCCTCAAGATAGTAACTTGTGGCCTCAAGATAGTAACTCGTGGCCACAAGATAGTAACTCGTGGCCACAAGATACTAACTCGTAGCCACAAGATACTATCTTGTGGCCACGAGTTACTATCTTGAGGCCACGAGTTACTATTTTGTGGCCACGAGTTACTATCTTGAGGCCACGAGTTATTATCTTGTGGCCACGAGTTACTATCTTGAGGCCACGAGTTAGTATCTTGAGGCCACGAGTTAGTATCTTGAGGCCACGAGTTACTATCTTGAGGCCACGAGTTACTATCTTGTGGCCACGAGTTAGTATCTTGAGGCCACGAGTTACTATCTTGAGGCCACGAGTTACTATCTTGAGGCCACGAGTTACTATCTTGTGGCCACGAGTTACTATCTTGTGGCCACGAGTTACTATCTTGTGGCCACGAGTTACTATCTTGAGGCCACGAGTTAGTATCTTGAGGCCACGAGTTACTATTTTGTGGCCACGAGTTACTATCTTGAGGCCACGAGTTATTATCTTGTGGCCACGAGTTACTATCTTGAGGCCACGAGTTAGTATCTTGAGGCCACGAGTTAGTATCTTGAGGCCACGAGTTACTATCTTGAGGCCACAAGTTACTATCTTGTGGCCACGAGTTAGTATCTTGAGGCCACGAGTTACTATCTTGAGGCCACGAGTTACTATCTTGAGGCCACGAGTTACTATCTTGTGGCCACGAGTTACTATCTTGTGGCCACGAGTTACTATCTTGTGGCCACGAGTTACTATCTTGAGGCCACGAGTTAGTATCTTGAGGCCACGAGTTACTATCTTGTGGCCACGAGTTACTATCTTGAGGCCACGAGTTACTATCTTGTGGCCACGAGTTACTATCTTGAGGCCACGAGTTAGTATCTTGAGGCCACGAGTTACTATCTTGTGGCCACGAGTTACTATCTTGAGGCCACGAGTTACTATTTTGTGGCCACGAGTTACTATCTTGAGGCCACGAGTTATTATCTTGTGGCCACGAGTTACTATCTTGAGGCCACGAGTTAGTATCTTGAGGCCACGAGTTAGTATCTTGAGGCCACGAGTTACTATCTTGAGGCCACCAGTTACTATCTTGTGGCCACGAGTTAGTATCTTGAGGCCACGAGTTACTATCTTGAGGCCACGAGTTACTATCTTGAGGCCACGAGTTACTATCTTGTGTCCACGAGTTACTATCTTGTGGCCACGAGTTACTATCTTGTGGCCACGAGTTACTATATTGTGGCCACGAGTTACTATATTGTGGCCACGAGTTACTATCTTGAGGCCACGAGTTACTATCTTGAGGCCACGAGTTACTATCTTGTGGCCACGAGTTACTATCTTGAGGCCACGAGTTACTATCTTGTGGCCACGAGTTTCTATCTTGAGGCCATGAGTTACTATCTTGAGGCCACGAGTTACTATCTTGAGGCCACGAGTTACTATCTTGAGGCCACGAGTTACTATCTTGTGGCCACGAGTTACTGTACTATCTTGTGGCCACGAGTTACTATCTTGAGGCCACGAGTTACTATCTTGTGGCCACGAGTTACTATCTTGAGGCCACGAGTTACTATCTTGAGGCCACAAGATAGTTATAATAAATTTTTTTGACCAAAGTGGGACTAGAGGGGCTCCGTACAAACCAAATAAAGTAAGCGGGAAATAAAGTAAGCATTAGCTGGAAATTAGTTTGTTTTTATGTGTCATAATAAGCTTTTATGGTCATTTGCATGATTGCTGTGAATAAAATGTTATTAACATGGGGTGGTGGGTACATATCGTGGGTGGTGTATTGCGTTTTTTCGGTTCTGCTTGAATATCGTTAAACCCCTACTTTTGAGTGTGTGTCATATACTCCCAGGGAAGTTAATTTTACACTGGAGTTTTCGCTGTGTACAGATATTAATCTTTTTTTTTTTTTTGTCAAAGCACAAAGCATTATTCAGTAAAATGTGTCCCAATCCAATGAATCGTGAGTGTGTGTGTGTGTGTTTTCAGCACATCACACGCAGGTCCTACGCGCTGAACGGATCTCTGCAGAGCTCAGACTCGGGATTCTGGATCAATAGTCTGGATTACACCGGCATGCAGCACATCACTCCTCATATCCCCGAGATCAACGACAGCATCCACACACACTGTCAGGATTTCTACTGCCCCTTCCCATGGCTCTCCATCACGTGAGTGTGTGGTGTCGGAGGATTGGAGGATGTACTTCCTGAACCTCGTGACGTCTTTCTCTCGTTGTTTCAGGGAGAACTGGTATCTTCCGGCTCCTGAAGCCTTTCCTGACGCTCCGCTGGAGTTCCAGCTCTTATCCAGACAGGACACTGAATGGGGAACAGTTAACATGACCTTTGAGGTCAAAGGTGAGATTTCATCAGGAACCAAATGTCTGCCAGATTTCTAATGCACATAAGATGATTGATTTATTGCATGATCTGTTTTAACAGAGATATTATTACTTGCTTTTGATACGTTATTTAAACCACTTGTTATTGTAATTATGTATTAAAGGCTATTGTTTGCTTAGGTTGATTTTCCTTACCACCCATAAGAATGTATTACAGATTAATCGTTGAAATTATCGTCCGATTCCTCGATTACTAAAATAATCGTTACAGATGACTGTAGTTTAATTTTTAAATCTGCTTTTAGTTTAAATTAATATATTACAAATGTTCCCATTTTTAAACTAGTAAAATAAATACAAGTTTAATATTTTAATAATTTTTATTTTATAATTTAATTTCTAATTTAATTTATAATTTTTTATAATTAAATTAATTTGATAATTGTTTTTATATTTTTTTATATAAAATATATAATAAATGTTTACATATATAGCATTTGTTGTATTTTTATATTAAAAATAAATCATATATTTTATAATATACATTTGTCTTAGCTATTTATTAAACTTTTTATCCATCCATACATCCTTACAAATATTTGCCTTGATTTTCAGTGACTAAAATTAAATATATTAAAAAACACACACACGCATAAATATAAAAAAGAATAATGACTGTTGATGACTATTCTTCAAAAACTGTTTTTAATAATTTTTATTTGATAAGTAAATTTAGAATTAAATTTTATAATTTTTTATAATTAAATTAATTTTATATTTTTTTATAAAATATATAATAAATGTTTACATATATAGCATTTGTTGTATTTTTTTTATTAAAGATAAATCATATATTTTATAATATACATTTGTCTTAGTTATTTATTAAACTTCTTATCCATAAAAAAATATTTGCCTTGATTTTTAGTGAATAAAATGAAATAATCAGCAGCATTCAATAATCCAGTGAGTGTGTTTGACAGGTTTAGTTCACTCCCTGTGTTTATTAATGACGAATAATGTTCAGTGTCTCCTGTTGTTCTCGCTCAGGTCCAAGTCACATGTCTCTGTTGGTGTTGCCCAGCGCTGACGTGTTTTTGAGGTCCCGGGCATTTGGTGACGGGAAGCTGTACTACTACCCCAGCGAAGAAGACTACATATTTTACTCTCACGGCCTCGACGCTCCTGCCTGGAACTTCTGGTTTGAGATTCAGGTGGATTTTGAGCCAAAGAAGCACAGCTGTAACATGAGGAGCGTGGAGGTGTTTATTGTGAGAGTTGATGTGTGTTTCTCAGTCCTTAGACGCGTCTCCTGACGAGGGCTTGATCTCTCTGGCCATCACAGCTCATTATTTCTCCGGTTCAGACCGGCGCTCCGAGCAGCTGGAGTCGTTCCTGAAGAGATTCCCGCCCTGGGTGTTCCCATCCTCATGGATCAGCACGTACCACGTGTACAGGTTCTGAGGGCCACTTGCTCAAGGATGAATGACGAGTGTCGAGAATTACTTACATTTCCACATGCCTGCAGTTCTCCAACTCTCTGCATGAGGGAAACATGTGTACGTCTGATCGGACCCTGACGAGAAGCTAAGATCTTTTTACACCTCAAAGACATCCATTTATTTGTATAAATATGACCGTTGACATGAATTTTAGTGTAACGTTGGCACAACGTAACCAACCATCTTAGGTTGGTTGCTTAAGGTTGTGCCTAGGGTGTTTGGACAACCACTGGACTACATGTGTACTCATCACCGCCCTGAAGCGAGAAAATCAGCCTTTAAAATTTCAACCAACCGCTAGGCCGTCTCATTCATCTTCAAGCAAGGATACGCGAGAATTGCGTTTAATTTACCTCAGCTAAATAAGATACGGAATTATACAAACACAACCTACAACTTCCATGTCTAATGTTACTTTTATTTAAACATCTTATGGCCAGGAATGACAAATATTTACCTTTATACCAAAAGTTATAAGCCACAACGAAGCCAAATAAATGACTTTAATGATGAGTGATTGATTTCAGCACTCCTTGAACTGGCAGCGACTTAAGCATTGCACGTTAATTTTTTTCCTTTTGGGGGGCTTGATTTGTTGTCTCATTCGATTCTTTGCTAGATTTGATCATGTCTGCGTATGCCAGTTAACGTTAGTCACTCCCATAATGTTTTTTTTCTTATTTTCTCACAAATGTATTACTTTTGTTTTAATGCAATGATTACCATACGCTTAAAGGAGAACTCGTGTATACAGACAGGAGCCATCTTAGAAAATAGTCTCGATAAGTCGATCCACAAACGCCGTTCAGACAGTTCAGAAGTTCGCTAACTTCATACAGTTCAGATCACTCAGCACGTCGTTCGAGTGAACTGTCTTTATAAAGTATCTTCTTATTAAATGGTCTGTACACTTACAAAGTTCTCAATGCTTCGTTTTGCATGTAATAGACCCTCATTATGTTTCTGTGTTAGTGTGGGGCTATTTTGAACCTTGGACTCTAATTTGACAAGCGAACAAATTGAATGGTCGGAAAGTTAACTGGAAATGTTGTATTAATTTGTATTGGTACATCCGTGCCGCGAAGATGTTTTAAAAAGTGTTGGGGAGAATATTGAACATGGCAAAAGAGTGGTGACATGCGTTAACTAATGGGAACGCCCCCTCATCAGCGCTCGGCTGGCGCCGGCTTTGAGTCAAATGAAATACAATAAACGTGCAAATAAATATTACAGATTAAAAAAACGATCGTAAATGTCGTCCAGTTTTCTAATACTATTATTTGATGACAACAATACATTTGGAAAACAAAATACAGCAATTTCTGGGTTTTTTTTCATTTTTTTTTTTTCTTTTAAACAAAAAACCAAGCTGCACCCTTTTTAAATTTCATCTTTCATTCCGAAATAGATTAATGAATGAACGAAAAAGTACACGGACCAAAGGCAACTGTCCATTGACAATGTAACTGGAAAAACAAGAAAAATAATCTCTGGTTTCCATTTTTCATTTTTGCATTTGTATTGTATGGTCCGAAAATTGAATTGTGAAGCGTTACACGGACCGTTGGTGTTGCCATTTTCATGTTTACCTTTATTTCTTTGTCGACATTATCTTTGATCAGATTATATTTACTGAAAATTACTTTAAAATGAATGTCTATTCTAACACTTTATTTCCCCTGTATGAGTAATGAATGTAGGGAATTTCAAATCTATGCATGAGAATATAGACAAATATTAATAAAGTGTGACAGGAAACGTAAGGAGTTTTATGATCATTGTCCGTTTCTGTACAAATCTGTATGTGATTGAATTACTTTATTGCCAGAGGTGTCAGCGTTAGGCTACCTTACTTAAGTAGAAATGTTGGGTATACTTTACTGGAGTAGTTATTTTTCAGCCGACTTTTTACTTCTACTTCTTACATTTTCACGCAATTATCTGTACTTTCTACTCCTACGTTTTAAAAATAGCCTCGTCGTTACTCCCATTTCTTTTAGGTATGTTGTCATTCTGGCTTGTCGTCATTCAAAAAATTGACCGATAACAGGCACGGATAATAATAGAGTCCCGCCCCCTGAACACACATCGCTAAACTGATTGGCTTTGTGTTTTCCTTCTAACCTGTGAGAGGCTGCAGTGATATTTGGTTGTGCAAAGCGGCAAAATCCTCTGAGGGAATTGGGAAACCTAGAGACGAGGTAAGCGACGGAGAAATCAACAGTTTTCTGCTCAAGAATACGGGTTAAATCGCGTCAAATATTGATTTGAGGACAGCCGTTTTTACTATACTGTATGACAATCGCGGGATAAGTGGCAAAGATAATCGTGAGTGTGTGTGTGTGTGTGTGTGTGTGAGAGAGAGAAAGAGAAAGAGAGAGAGGGTGTGTGTGTGTGTGTGTGTGTGTGTGTGTGAGAGAGAGAGAGAGAGAGAGAGAGAGAGAGAGAGAAGAGGAGACGAGTATGTTAGTGTTAAATAGAGAGAGATCCAGTAGCACCTCGAGAGAAAGCGTGTGTGTTTGTGTTTGCAACTACATTATAGGGTCAAAAAATATCCCCACATAGAAACTGAGTGCACTAGGCCACTGTGGCGCGGTCTAAGCTTTGTCCTTAATGGAATTTTTATCCATACATTACTTTTACTTTTATACTTAAGTAGTTTTGAAACCAGTGGGCTACTTTTACACTTTTACATGAGGAAAAGCCTGAGTTGATACTTCAACTTTTACAGAAGTCTTTTTAAACCCTAGTATCTTTACTTTTACTTGAGTAGGCCTAATGAATATGAATACTTTTGACCCTTCCGTTTATTGCAATTAATAGTTATTATAAAGTCCAACTATATTTAGATTCACATATTATGGTGTTGTAGTTAATTGCCTGTAGAGGATCGTAAAGATAGGTTATTGACATATTTTGTTATTGATGATTTATCCATTTTAAGGCCTATATTGTGAAAAACAGTAACATCTTTCAATATGTAGCAGATTTACAGGCTTTTATCATTTATCCTGACTCAAATATTGTGTTTCTAACAAACACTCAGAATAAAGTGAGATGATCTGCTGATGATCCTGATGGCTTGTTGAATGAGTGTTGATAGTCTGAGGATCATCAATATTAACAGATCTGCTGAAAACACTCTTTATTTCATGACAATAGTTCTTGTTTTCTCCTCTTTTATTATGCTGATGTCTTCAGATGGCCTGTAAATTGACACTAACTCATGTCGTTAGTGTGAACAGACTGTGAGAATTTGTTGGTCACTATAATGTAGCCTATGCTTATTTCTTTTTATGCTTTCAACTTTTTTCTTATCTTTATTATATTTGGAAGAATTTACATTATTTTAATTTGTTGTCCATGAGCATATAAATAAACTCAGTAACTTCGAAATTTTGGCAGATTACATCATCATTGAAGCTCCTCCTACTGTAATTCATCATCATTGAAGCTCCACCCACTGTAATTCATCATCATTGAAGCTCCTCCCACTGTAATTCATTGTCAGTGAAGCTCCTCCCACTGCCATTCTCCAATAAATGCTTGTAAATTCCCATCAGCTACAAGTATAGACGAGCATCAGGCAGAGCTGAAATCTGTAAAGACTGAGTTTATTAAAGAGGACAGTGAGAACATGAGTGATCCAGAACCCTGCAGAATGAAACACACTGAAGATCCTGAAGAACAGAGAGGTTGGTGTTTATTCTTCATTCATTCATGATGCTGGAGAACATTCATGTTAGAAACATTCAAGCATATATTAATTTTTAGATAAACAGATAAATTATGAAATGGCTGCAAAAGTTGTTTTTTTTTTCTTCAAAAAATGGTCAGTAAAGTTTCATATTAATTCAAGTCAAACTAGTCAACATCAAGTCAAACTAAATAGCTTTATTTTACATGTATTTTGTATATGGTTTACAATTTGTTAATGTTATCAGAACGTTGACCTAAATTTTGTGCACATTTTTACAGACTTGTATAACAAATAATAATAATTTCAATATGTACAATCTATTCCGCTTTACTTCAAACAGTTGTGTTCTTTCTCACAGTGAAATTCAACTGATCTTTTGTTTCTTGAACGGGCCTTAATAATTCAAACGTTTTGGAAAGTTTTGAATGAAATTTAATTATCAATCTGTTGGTGTCAGAATATGCCAGTATTGTGTATTTTAATGTTCATATCACATTAGATAATTATGTGATTGATCAAACACATTTAAACTGTAAATTGCAGGTTAACCACCACAACAAATTAATGTGTAAATTAAAGTGCTCAAGTATGTATGTCAACATTTCTCTTAAAATGTGTTAAAATAACATTTATTGGGGTTTCTTCAAAGGTCACGTGTTTTTTACGGTTACTGGGTGATGACGTCATAAAAGGGACCAGCAACTAGGATTACAACGTTTACATGGTTGTTTGATTTAACGCAGTGGTTCTCAATTTTTTTCGGTCACTCCCCAACTTTGGACAAGGGGGATTTAAGCCCCACTGCCCCCATCACCCCAACACAATGCTAATGAAATACGCAACAAGCTTAAAATGTTCTAATTTACAAGGATGTACAAGTAGTATCTAAATACAAACTAACTATCTACATCAAATAACATAGCAGCAAGTTAAAAAATAAAGAAAATAAAAGTGCAGCTGTGTCATAACTGGCATGGAATTCAAAAAACAGAAAATAAAAGTGCAGCTATCAAAATGTAAAAAAAATAAAAGAAGAGAAATCCATTTGGCAAGGCAGGTCTATTTAAAAAAAAAATGAAAATAGACATAACATAGGCTACTGTGTTTGATATTGGATTAAAATGATGGACAGTGTACGAGATATAAACTAATGAATAATTATTTCAATATTCCTTTGTTCCGATCAGAGCATGTGAGCAGAGAGCGCATTTCTGAATATTCCTCAGCTCGCTCATTCCGCTCTGGGTCGCGCGCTCAGTCCTGCTGGCTCGAAAATATTTGGAATAACGGCTGCCTCCGACTAAAGTTTTTTCTAGTCGACTAGTAGTTGTTTATTAAGCCATTAGTGGACAAATCGCCCCTTTATATTGATTTAATAACTTAAATAGGCTATACAGGATAATAATATAGCCACCCGAGGCGGCAAAAGTGAATGTGTAAAAAATAGTAAGTAGACATTTAATTTAAATATTGATTTATTAATAAACTCGTGTTTTCTGAGTCGCTGCAAAGATGAAGTTCCGGCTCTGTCTCTCCCTCTCTGCCGTGTACGTGACCGTGCGCTACACAGTTTGAACATACATATTCACGTAGCCTTTCGAAAACCGGGACATTCAGTGACCCGGGAGACTGCTTAAATTTCCCGCGACAGGTTATTAAAAAGAAGGACAATCCCGGTAAAACCAGGACAGGTGGCAACCCTACTAGCAACCCATACTCTTCTAGATTCCTACTGTTAGTGGCTTGACTATGGAGAACGACCGGGAGACTGAGGAGGTGGGAAACCATCAAATTCTTGATGGACCACAGCCCTATAATTTTGAACCAGTCAGGCGTAAGAGAGGGGAGGAAATTGCCAGAAATCATGGCTAGCCTCCTTGCCATTAGACTAATGGTAACTCTAGACTTGGTGTCCCTTTTATGACGTCACGCCCAGCCTAGTGGAAGGGCGGGGAGTATAAAGTACCAACGTTTCATAATATACCCACCATTTTGGTATAAAAAAACACGGCAAAAGCACATTGTATTATCTTCGTGAAAAATGTAACCTGCAATTAACACTTTAATAGTTCTCACTACAGAAACGTGGGATTTTTGCCTATAATGTTTTTCAACATAATAACTGGAAGAGCAGTGTATCTCATTAACCCTTTAGGCGCCAGAGGTTTTTTCCTAAAACGTTTAATTTTGACATCTTAATTTCAAAAGAGTATATTATGTTAACTTTAAGAAAACGGTGAAAAAGTTACAGTGTTTCCTTTAAGATTTGTTTTAGCAGTTGGGGCAGGTCTGTCCAAACAACAAACACAACTGATGCTGAGCATATATGCTGCTAAATGGTACCCCTGGAGCCTGTTCTTTAGGTCTGTTTTCACCTCTAAAATAATTGTAAAAACTTAGTGATGTGAGGGATATTGATACAATCTTTTGGGTGCCCGCAGCACGCTCACAGTGTGAAGTGCGTGTCCGTGCTATTCTCCAACATGCCTGCTGGCCAACATGACATCATGACTTTTGCGTAAACATACACGCAACTTTCGAGTCAGGTGGCTTGTTGTCTCTGCGCATTTTGAGCTATCCGAGTGTATACGCGTCTATGCGTGTATGTCTACACCATTAACATCCGCGTCATTCCGCGTGTCTGTACACGCAGTCAAATCTCCAGTCATAAATGCCATTAACCCCAGTGACGGTTAGGTTTAGGGACGGGTTGAGGTAAGTCATATATTTATATAACGCTAAGTCAACAGCGTTCATAAACACGCTGAAAAGCGATTATGCGTCTTGATAGCACGCAAAAATGGAAATACGAATTGGCGTGGCATACACGCGCTACTTCATGAGATCAGTCTGCTGCTGGCGGTGTGTTTTAAATGCGTGTCCGCGCTATTCTCCGACATGCCTGCTCGCGGTGTGTTTTAAATGCATGTTCGCTAGAGATGCGCGGATGGGCTATTATTTCATCCGCACCCACATCACAAAACTCATAATCCGTCCGCCATCCAACCGCACCAACATTTTTGACCAATTTTCAAAACCGCACCCGGCCGCCATCCGCTGATTGGGCAATACAAGGCGCTGCTGATGACAGCCGCGAGACTAGAAAGCTCTCAGAAAATCAGCAGTGAACTCCGTCTCTGATCGGCACGCAAGGATAAAAATAAGTAAATTAAACGCACTTCGGCAAACCTGACTGTGGCGAGGGGGGCGTGATTTTGCGAAGTCTGTAGCGGGAGAGAAAGGACGGAGCCGCGCGGTGAGTAAGTAGGTTGAGACGACATATAACCGGCGGGAATGAGAGAGCGAGCGAGAGAGAGAGTTGGACTGGGACTTCACACGCGCCTACTGCAACTGAGATTCAGAAGCAAATGTTGGATCGCATGTTTTGTTTATGGTGGCGAATGCGCAACTGTAACCGCCAACCGCGCATCTCTACTGTCCGCACTATTCTCCGACGTGTCTGCTCACGGTGTTTTAAATGCGTGTCCGCGCTATTCTCTGACTTGCTCGCTCGCGGTGTGTTTAAAATACATGTCCGCGCTACTCCACGACATTAACTTCACTTTTGCTATTTAACCAGAGTGAATGAGACGAGTGCGTAACGTGTGGTGTTTGTCAACGCGCCTTTGGAGAGAAGTGAATGTAACCGCTCGGTAGAGGTGTGCGATACCGCTAGATTTGGTATCGATCCGATACCAAGTAAATACAGGGCCAGTATCGCCGATACCAATACTTTTTAATAATTAGGGTGGATGCCTCTTCAACCTAAATCTAAATGAATTTTCATGACTTTTGTTTTTGTGATTTGCATTTTGGGTTATTAATCAGTTAAAATCAGTACTACAACAGCTTTTGTTCAGAAACAACTTTTGGATACTTCTGTTTTATTTAAACAAAGTTACAAAATTATTACTTCACAAATATAAAAAATACAACAAATTTGTAAAAACAAATTCTCTTTTCAAGTAGCATGTTAACAAAAAATGTTTATCTTCTTTAGTGCACTTCTTTTCAGGATTTTTTTTCTTAAAAAAACAAAGTCACAAGTTCTCCGTCTCTGATTGTGCTGCTGTAGTCTAGAAATGCGCGGCCGCATGCGCCTGACTGGTGGTAGTCCTAGAGCGCGCTAGTGGTGAGTCACGTGACGGTACAACACAGGAGAGGGGGATGAGAGCAGCACTAGGATTACAGAGAGTTTGCTCTGCTCTGTAACAGCAGCAGCATTTTGACAAAAACGGTCAGGTCGCAAAACGAGAGAAGCTGAAACTTAAGTATCAATATTTTCGCGTTGGTATCGATCAATACCGATACCAACGTTGGTATCGATATTAGTATCGATCTGCCCAGCTCTTCCGCTCGGCTAGTATCGATACTTTGGGAAATTAGTATTGGTACCGTTCAGATATTTCAGTATCGATATTTATCGAAATATTGATATTTTTGACAACACTACTGCCTTCACGTTACCCCCTATCTGTACTATGAATACTTCTACCTTGTCTAACATACCCAGTGATAATAGGCAAAGTCTCCACCACAATACTGTTGCCGCGATCGCGGAGAGGCTCTGATGAAATGGCTCACTCTCACACTAGCTCCGCTTTTGATCGCATTGATTCAATGCGCTGTAACTCGAACATTTTGTATAGAAACATGACTTTTTTTGAGTCAGGGATGAAGTATGACATGTCTGCCATCCAGTGGAGGGGATGTCGAACGAAATTTGACACCCAATTTGACAAAATCGTCCGTTATTCAGTGACGCATCTTGTCGAGTAAACTTGACCGTGGCGCCAAGAGGGTTAATGGGAAGTTCCATGAATGTATAATTAATTTATAAAAATACATAAATTATTGTTGTTCTGGGTTAATTTTTTATCTCCATATATATTTCTCTCTTTTTTGACATTTGAAACAACATTTGAAAATTTTTCTTTTATTTCAGACCAGATGGAAGTGAAGGTGGAGAGAGAAGAACTGCGTGAAGTGAAGGAGGAGAGAGAAGAACTAAGAGAAGTGAAGGAGAGAGAAGAACTGAGTGAAGTGAAGGAGGGAGAAGAACTGAGTGAAGTGAAGGAGGAGAGAGAAGAACTGAGTGAAGTGAAGGAGGGAGAAGAACTGAGAGAAGTGAAGGAGGAGAGTGAAGAACTGAGAGAAGTGAAGGAGAGAGAAGAACTGAGTGAAGTGAAGGAGGAGAGAGAAGAACTGAGAGAAGTGAAGGAGGAGAGAGAAGAACTGAGTGAAGTGAAGGAGGAGAGAGAAGAACTGAGAGAAGTGGAGGAGGAGAGAGAAGAACTGAGTGAAGTGAAGGAGAGAGAAGAACTGAGAGAAGTGAAGGAGGAGAGAGAAGAACTGAGAGAAGTGAAGGAGAGAGAAGAACTGAGAGAAGCGAAGGAGGAGAGTGAAGAACTGAGAGAAGTGAAGGAGAGAGAAGAACTGAGTGAAGTGAAGGAGGAGAAGAACTGAGAGAAGTGAAGGAGGAGAGAGAAGAACTGAGTGAAGTGAAGGAGGAGAGAGAAGAACTGAGAGAAGTGGAGGAGGAGAGAGAAGAACTGAGTGAAGTGAAGGAGAGAGAAGAACTGAGAGAAGTGAAGGAGGAGAGAGAAGAACTGAGTGAAGTGAAGGAGGAGAGAGAAGAACTGAGAGAAGTGAAGGAAGAGAGAGAAGAACTGAGAGAAGTGAAGGAGAAGAGAGAAGAACAGATGGAAGTGAAGGAGGAGAGAGAAGAACTGAGAGAAGTGAAGGAGGAGAGAGAAGAACTGATGGAAGTCGAGGAGGAACATCATGTCAAACCTGAAGAAAATCCTTTTGACTCAAGGACTAAAAAGACATATTTAAAGAAAACAATAGCCAAGAAATCTTTCACCTGTACTCAGTTTGGAAAGAGTTTCACACACAAATACAATCGTGAGAGACATATGATGATCCACAGAGAGAAGCCGTTCTCATGCAAACAATGTGGGAATAATTTCAGTCAATTAGGACACTTTAAAGCTCACATGAGGATCCACACCGGAGAGAAGCCGTTCTCATGTGATCAGTGTGGCAAAGCATTTCTCAGGGCATCAGACCTGAAGACACACCTGAGAATTCATATGAAGGACAAGCCACATTCATGTTCTGTGTGTGGAAAGAGTTTTTCACAGCTATCATATTTACATAAACACCAGAAAACTCACACTGCTGTGAGAGAGTACATGTGCTTCGAGTGTGAGAAGACTTTTGCAACAGGGAAAGATTTAATCATACACCAGAGAATTCACACTGGAGAAAAACCTTACAAGTGTTCACACTGTGACAGTAGATTCAGTCAGTTAGGAAATCTGAAATCACATGAGAGGATCCACACTGGAGAAAAACCTTACAAGTGTTCACACTGTGACAAGAGATTCAGTCAGTCATCATCTGTGAAAACACATGAGGAGATCCACAGCGGAGAAAAACTTTACAAGTGTTCACACTGTGAAAAGAGATTCAATCTGTCATCATCTATGAAAACACATGAGATGATCCACACTGGAAAAAAACCTTACAAGTGTTCACACTGTGACAAGAGATTCAGTCGATCATCATCTATGAAAACACATGAGATGATCCACACTGGAGAAAAACCTTACAAGTGTTCACACTGTGACAGGAGATTTAGTCGGTCAGAACATCTGAAAACGCATGAGAGGATCCACACCGGAGAAAAACCTTACAAGTGTTCACACTGTGACAAGAGATTTAGTCGGTCAGAACATCTGAAAACGCATGAGAGGATCCACACTGGAGAAAAACCTTACAAGTGTTCACACTGTGACAAGAGATTCAGTCATTCATCAAATCTGAAAACACATGAGAAGAACCACACCGGAGAAAAACCTTCCAAGTGTTCACACTGTGACAAGATATTTAGTCAGTCATCATCTCTGAAAACACATGAGAAGATCCACACTGGAGAAAAACCTTACAAGTGTTCACACTGTGACAAGAGATTCAGTCAGTTATCATCTCTGAAAACACATGAGCTGATCCACACTGGAGAAAAACCTTACAAGTGTTCACACTGTGACAAGAGATTCAGTCACTCATCACATCTGAAAACACATGAGAGGATCCACACTGGAGAAAAACCTTACAAGTGTTCACACTGTGACAAGAGATTCAGTGATTCATCATATCTGAAAACACATGAGAAGATCCACAGCGGAGAAAAACCTTACAAGTGTTCACACTGTGAAAAGAGATTCAATCTGTCATCAACTCTGAAAACACATGAGATGATCCACACTGGAGAAAAACCTTACAAGTGTTCACACTGTGACAAGAGATTCAGTGATTCATCATATCTGAAAACACATGAGAAGATCCACAGCGGAGAAAAACCTTACAAGTGTTCACACTGTGAAAAGAGATTCAATCTGTCATCAACTCTGAAAACACATGAGATGATCCACACTGGAGAAAAACCTTACAAGTGTTCACACTGTGACAAGAGATTCAGTCGATCATCATCTATGAAAACACATGAGATGATCCACACTGGAAAGAAACCTTACAAGTGTTCACACTGTGACAAGAGATTCAGTCGGTCAGAACATCTGAAAACACATGAGAGGATCCACACTGGAGAAAAACCTTACAAGTGTTCACACTGTGACAAGAGATTCAGTCGGTCAGAACATCTGAAAACACATGAGAGGATCCACACTGGAGAAAAACCTTACAAGTGTTCACACTGTGACAAGAGATTCAGTCGGTCAGAACATCTGAAAACACATGAGAGGATCCACACTGGAGAAAAACCTTACAAGTGTTCACACTGTGACAAGAGATTCAGTCATTCATCAAATCTGAAAACACATGAGAGGATCCACACTGGAGAAAAACCTTTCAAGTGTTCACACTGACGATATTCAGTGTGTCAAAAAATCTGAAAACACATGTAGGAGTTGAGGGTGAACTAAACACAAATGAATCTCCCATTGGTTTCATTCAAACAGAATTCAACACTCCGGACCTAAGATCAACATTCCAGAACCATAAAGATCCCGGCTCCAGTTAGTCTACACTAGCCAACAAACCTATTATGCTTAGATCACATTAAAGTCATGTAATTGTTATAACTATAAGATGTGTGAATGAAAGTGTATCTTGTTTCCTATCAGTAAGATCATATGTTCTTAATTCAGAAAATGGCTTGAGTGAAATCTGTGTAAATTGTTTGGTGTTCTTTCTTATAATAGTCATGTCTAAACTGTATCCTCTGTATTCTGCTAAAGCTGTAGAGAATGGGGATCCAAGATAACGCATGATTTACGATGAGAGCTGAAGGAAATGCCACCTCACAGTGTCTAATTGGTCTGAACTCTTCAATGAGGTGGGACAAACATTTGCATTAAAAATTCTCGACCCGAACAAAGGGTTGGAGTCATCTTGGAGTTATCTGGGAGTTATCTGAAAGTTGTGCTGGAGAAGCATGACGAGTAACCAAATAGACAAGTAACAATATAGTAGACCAGCATATAAATGAACCCAAACAACATCAGGAGAACATCCATGGATTAAACAGCTTCCATTCAATGCCATCCAACAACTCGTCTCACTTTTCTTTCCTTTCTTAGTTTTTTTTCTTTTCTGTGAGTCTCAGTTCTGCGATAAGTTTTGCTGCAAAGTTTTGTTAACGAGTTTTAATTGCAAAGCACTTCGAACTTCAAAAGACTTTCATCCATTTGCCAGTACACCATGTGATTGGCCGCCCAGAGACATCTATCCTGGCACGAGGAGACCGCAAAACAACGAACCAGGGAAATATCCTTGAGATAGTTAGCCAATGTCTCAGAGTCTAAGTCGGATGAAAATTTTGTAGAAAAAAAACACTCACCAGCTTAGTCTTCACAACTTGTATATTCCCCTCAGGACAAGTTCCAACAATGCCGTTTAGTTTCTTCCCTCTTGATTGATTTAGACGAGATTTGGGGTGCATATTTACGTTCTCACTCACATATTTTAGCCGGCGTCCCTACTTCATCAAATGACTCCATTCAGGTGACATAGTTAGATGACTTTTTCGCTTCACATCCACCACTCCATTCACTACGCAGACATCCAGAGCCGAAGCTTTAGCCATCGGTCCAGAGCTCAGCTTACTCTGGCCTGGGGCCTCCTTTCTGATCCAGATGGCAGCCACCGTCGCATTACTCACTCCATCCACCCTAGGCGGCTTACAATCCATAGACTTGTATTTCACAAATCTGTTTATGTAATCTAAGTAAACTGTCAATCACTCTAATTGGGTTTTGGTGGGTTAATACTCCCATCCACCAAAACTTTGCTGGCCAGACATTGGTTTTGCTTTTTTCCAGTCAAAAACTAAGGTGCGAGAATGACAGATCGTGCAGCGTTCGCTCCCTGTTGCGTTCGCTCCCAGGATATTTTGGTCATAACAACCATAGACATAATAAATACATAGACGCCCTATTGGCCGCTGGAGCGCATGTCGACGGCGCCGCCATATTGTAGAGGGCAACTTTCTCATCCTTCTCATAATTAGAATTGAGATAAATGCCTGTTTCGTGTGCTTCTTGCGGCTGTACAAATCGCCACACAACTGAAAACTGGTCTTGAGGAATCATCTTTCACAAGCAAGACTAAACATTTGTTTCTGGTTGTATTTGGTCATGATATAATTAGTTATAGTAACTTTCAAAGGACATAGGCCATGACTGGTGTCTGTTGGAACCAAACTATCCCACTCTTGCTGCAAGCCCCCAGATACCAACCAAAAAATGGCAGGCCGCTCTACCATCAAAGCCTGCAGGCACTGCTCGCCCTCCTCCTCCTCCTGGTGCCACAGCACCAGGACCCACACCCTCCTCCATCTGCTCGAGGTGAACCAAAAACAACTGATACCAGCTCTCAGTGATATGTGTCGGGTGCCCGCTATGAAAACAGTAACTTTATCAAATGTTTACAGAACAAGCGGGAACCCAGTGCACCTTAATCTTTCTCTATTGCTGTTCAATTACATGATAGAACTTTTAACTCTCTCTTTTCCAGCACTTTAGACGCAGTTGCTCTGTTTCGCTTAAAGAAAATAGTCCACTGCCGTGGTACAACGAGTACACTCGGGCCCTTAAGAGAGCAGCCAGAAAAATGGAGCGCAACTGGAAGAAAACTAAACTAGAGGTATTCCGGATTTCATGGAAGGAGAGCTCGATTGCATACAGGCCCCGTCCACACTACTGCGTTTTCGTTTAAAAACGGAGAATTAAAACGAATACGATCTCCGTCCACACCAGCGTTTTATCTGCGTATTAGAAACGATCTCCGTCCACATTAAAACGACTGAAAACGCGGATCACGTGACCATTCACCAACACTGGGCATGCGCGTGCCGGTGTAAACAGTGAATGACGAATCAGGGAAGGATATGTCATGACTGATAACACCCAATCATAGAGCCGAGCGTGAGCCTCTGCGTCATCGTTTGTAAACTCCTCCGTTTTGTCTCGTCCACACTAAAACGCCCTCCGGATATTCAAAACGCAGCTGCAGCGTTTCTAAACTTCTCCGTTTTAGTTCGTTTTTCCCGTTTTAGTGTGGACAGGAGGTGCAAACGTAGCAAAAGGTCTCCGTTTTTAAACGAAAACGCAGTAGTGTGGACGGGGCCACAGAGAGGCCTTAAAAACTGCTAGGTCTGCTTATTTCTCAAACCTATTAGAAGAAAATAAACATAATCCTAGGTATCTATTTGAAACAGTGGCTAAACTAACGAAAAAGAAAGCTTCAAGCCCAAAAGAGTCCAAGCAACACAGCAATAATGACTTTATGAATTTATTCACTCATAAGATTGATAATATCAGGGACAAAATTATAACTATTCAACTGTCTACTACAGTATCGCATCAGGGGTGCATTGTTGTCTTCCTGAGGAAAGATTTGGTTCATTTCCTGCTATAGACCTTATGTAGCCCCGCCCCTTTCCAAGGCTGCACTCGTTGTCTTTTGACTTCCGGTCTGTATTTTCACAGCGATCTTGTATAGGTATGAATGAACTGCTCGTAAAAAAATTTCCGGTCGACATTTGTTGAGACATCTGCTTTACAATGCTTATGATAAACATTACAATGCTCGTGATAACTTTTGTTAACTCTACAATAAGCAAATCCACTTCACCAGCTAATTACTCCTTGACAGCGATGCCATAGAAATATACAGAGCGACCGCAAAAACGGAAGTTCAAAGACAATATTCTAAAGATGACGGCGCCCACGTTTCTCTGGTGCATAAGGTCTATAGGAGAGGAAGAATTTTGCAAACTCGTTAATTCATCTAAATCAACAACTTGTATGCTAGACCCTATACCAACTAAACAACTGAAAAACACATCTCTTTGACCTAGCATACACAACACACTATCGACTTCCTACATTCAAAATTAGGCTGCATAGTTTAGATCAGCTGGAACCGGGAACACGTCCCATAAATCCTGATGTACTTGCGTGATTACTTCAAAATTAAGTTTTATTAATTAAGTTCGGGAGGAGCACGTTCAGATAATTAACACGAGTGGACAGCAATCAATGATAAGAGGGTACATATAGACTCAGCAGTTTTACCTCGATCCATTGACAGTTTGCAGCATCCCTTCTCCACACTCCTAGTTCTCCACACTCCTCTTTCTAAAAATCACTTACGTACAGGGGGAGTACTCTGGGTTCAGGCAGAAATCCGAGCTCGGAGCCCTCCATCCGGACAGCACGCCAAATACGCATTGAATCTTACTCACTCAAAATTATATGTAAGTGTGAACTCGTGAAATGGACAGATTCTCTTAAAGGGTTAGTTCACCCAAAAATGAAAATTAAGTCATTAATTACTCACCCCCATGCTGTACCAACCCCGTAAGACCTTCGTTCGTCTTCGGAACACAAATGAAGATATTTTTGATTAAATTTGAGAGCTGTATAACTACCACATTGGCTCCTAAGGGACTGCCTCTTGGCGGCCCAAAAAGTCAATGAAGAAAATGTTTAAATATCCCAAGTGACTACCGTGGCTCAACTATATGTTTATCAAGCGACGCGAATACTTTTTGTGCGAAAAAACAAACAAAAATAACGAGTTTATTCGACTATTTCTTTTCTTCCTTGTAGGCCAGAACGAGACTTCCTTATAGATTTCCACGACGCATGCGCGAGAATTGCGATCTGAAGTAGTGAAGCTGGTGTGAGCAGATCGCAAATCTCGCGCATGCGTCGTGGAAATCTATAAGGAAGTCTCGTTCTGGCATACAAGGAAGAAAAGAAATAGTCGAATAAACTCGTTATTTTTGTTTGTTTTTTCGCACAAAAAGTATTCGCGTCGCTTGATAAACATATAGTTGAGCCACGGTAGTCACTTGGGATATTTAAACATTTTCTTCATTGACTTTCTGGGCCGTCAAGAGGCAGTCCCTTAGGAGCCAATGTGGTAGTTATACAGCTCTCAAATTTAATCAAAAATATCTTCATTTGTGTTCCGAAGACGAACGAAGGTCTTACGGGGTTGGTACAGCATGGGGGTGAGTAATTAATGACTTAATTTTCATTTTTGGGTGAACTAACCCTTTAATGTTTCGATCCAATTTGTTTTGTAATCACTGTGTAATCACTGTTCCTACGTTGGCCACAGGAGAACTGGCCCCCGACTGAGCCTGGGTTCTCCCAAGGTTTTTTTTCTCCATTCAATCACCTGATGGAGTTCTGGTTCCTTGCCACTGTTGCCTTGGCTTTTGGCTTGCTTAGTTGGGGACATTTAATATTCAACAATATTATTGATCGGTGTTGTATTATTTTCATGTTATCACTGTGAAGCTGCTTTGATAGAATCTGTATTGTAAAAAGCGCTATATAAATAAACGTGACTTG